TATTCTATATATAAATATCTAAAATTAATATATAGACAGTAATTCTTTCTGGTTTCTACCACTTCTGGTACTTTTGGTCGATAGGTTGCGAGATATTTTTAATTATAATATATAGAATATATATCCATGTAGTATATAATCTAAGAAAGTTTATTATATTTCCAGTATCCCTTGTTTCCTTTGAAATATATATACATATAGTTTCTATAATTATATCTTGGATTTATCCCAGCCATCTGTACCTTGCAGCTGACTTTAAGCAGGTAATAGTGATAGTCTATATTATTTTATCCATATATTAGACAAAATTCTGGATAACAGAAATATCTTTGTAGGTATTATTTCTAATTCTTATTTTATATTTTCCAATATCTCAGGTCCTAATATAAACAGTGTTGCATGACTTTCTTAAGTTCTGAGTAAAATTATACTAGATTTTCCTTAAACTCCTTTATAATATAATTTAACTAATAAGAAATATTACTTTTATTATTTTTCTAGTTCTCTTTGTTTTTATCCCATTACATGGGGCATGATTCACTAATATTTAATAGAGATTTTTCCAGAATATCAGATATCTTACTAAGTCTTTTCTTACTGGATTCAAGATTATTTAACTAAGTACTATACTCTTCATCCAAAGAATTAAATTTATTTTAAATTATATCAAAGTATTCATTCTCTAGAGCTGGCTTATTATTATCATCAACTCCCGTAGGCTAATTAAATAATTCAGATAATCAGTAAATTTCTTACAGTTCTATTAGTACTGTTAGCTTATCCGTGTTGGCCTATTATCTTAACCGGTTCTGGTACATTCTGCTTACTAGTATTAATAGTTATTCTTATTACATGACATATAGCTCCTTGCTACTTTATACCTATACTACAGGTTTAATCCAACCTCCTACTAATTTAATCCCAGTAGTATTATAAACTCTTCTAGCTTCTTTATTTAATTCTGATTAATCCTCATCTGTAGTCCTCAGCTGCTTCTAAGACTATTACTATTTTTACTTACAGTTCTTTAACTAATGACCTGCCTTACTATAGTTAAAGTATAAATAGTCCTTCTTATATCTTTCAAGCTCCTTCTTAAAGACTCTATTTCATCAAGTCTAATATTATATTATATCTAGTTTCATTGGTTTTAATCTATAGAGATCCTCATATTCCAGGTTTCTAGACTATACTAGCTGTCTATTATTAGCTTAGTAACTCTGTTAATTATTTTATCAAGACATAGATTTATTGGTTTATTAATCTTTTTTTTATTTCACGTTGTACTTGTATAACTTATTATTAATCTTGACTGCTGCTGTAATTATTTATTATAATATATTTAATTATTTTTACTAGATAAGTTTTTCTTAGATCTCTATTTTAAGTCTTTCTTTAAATCATGTAACATAGGCGTCTTCATCGCAGTCCAAGTAATTAATAACTTGTAAAAATTCAGAAATATACTTAAATACTAATTCTGTCTACTTAAATCACTATAATTTCTGTTCAGTATTTCACACTGCATTAATATCTCTGAATATCTATTCAAGATATTCCTTAAATCTAATATAATTAATAAAAATTTATTTAATATTATTATTCTGATCCTTTACCAGCTTTTCCTGATAATCGCGGATAAATAGCTCAAACCAGTTGAACACCGTCCTAATTAGATAAATAGATATAAAGAAAATCTTATTAATCTTATTTTTAAATTTTTCTTTATTTATATTAAAATATAAATCTAACTAGATCAAGAAAGCCCTAAACTTCAATTAATTATTATCAAATAGTTCTGGTAATCTAACTTTAACAGACTTAACTACTAATTAATTTTCAAATAACTAATTCTATTATTCCAGGACAGTAATACTTTCTTATAACTAATTAATTATACTTATTAATTTCTATATTATCAAATCTTGCTGTTACCTTCCTCCTTGGGTACTAGAGCCTTGCTGCAGAGTGCGCAGTAAACTTGAAGTAGTTAATATAATAGATAATTATAACTAGTAAATACTTGTACTAACTAGTACTTAATATATTAAATTTTAGAATTACTTTCCTGTCCTAGTTAGCTTAGCTTCACTGGTATACATACTATCAAACTGGATCGAGGGAGTATCAGACTAATAATTATTTAAGAATAACTAGTCTTAGATACAAGAAAAGAAGTAAGGCTAGATAGTACTATATAATTATTTATAAATAAGTGTAGATAAGTATTCTATCACTAAGCTCCTAAATATATAGTTACTTAAAAATAGTATTATTAAGCACAAAGAACAGAACTAACTAAATATATAAAAAAATATTCTTATATATTCTATTCTCTGTATACCATATCATATACTATTCTGGATAGATCAATGGTTAACCTAATCATAGCTCAGGGTCCCAGTATACCTTAAATATACTCTTGATGGTAGGCTTGATAGTAGGTGGTCACATGATACGTGGCCGTTCTGGACATCATGTTAGCAATTTATAATTGTACTAAATAACAACTTAGCTTTGCCTGAGCGCTGCCCTTATCGGCGCTTTCTGCCTGGCGAGTCCGCCTTACTAGTAGATTAACTAGCAGGGGTCCGTAACAGTGCATTAGCTAGATTAAATAGTATAATAATATATTTATAATAACTGTAATAAATATAAAAGATAGTTTTCTATTTATTACTTTTTTTTATTTAAATATAATAATAGATATTATATAAGTTAAGCTTGGTAAAGATCTTTATTCTACTAAAATAATTTATTATTTTATTAACTAGTAATAAAAAATAGTAATTCTTGACAGTAATTATATTTAATCTGTAATAATTTATATAGAGATATAGTATACTATCTTTTTTAAAAGTAAATAAAATAAGTATACCTGCAGGATTCTGGAAGAAATAAATCTATTTTTATTATAATATAATTATAATATATTTATATAAAGTCTGGAACTCAGTCTCTAAAAGATTATAAATTAGCTAATATAGGAATTATTTTTCTACTTCTAATTTAATTATATAATTATAGCTAGAATATAATATTAAAATACCTGCTTATTTCTTAGAAAAGATATCTATGAAGTTATTATATTTATTTAAAAACTCAGGTATAATATTTTTAATAATATTTATCTTATTATTATATTTCACTACTCGCATACAAGCAGTATCTGAATTTATATAAATCTATATTATATAAATGTAAATTTCTTTTTTAATAGCAGTACTAATATCTTTCTTATTAATTAATTTAGAATATATTTTTTTTATATAGTAGCGCTAGCTTCTTTTTCTTTATTTAATATCAGGATTTTGGCTTCGCAGCCAGGACATGTCTAGTATCATGAAAAAATTTTATATATTTATAATATTAAATTATTATTAACTGGTTTTCTCCTTACTCTTGCAGTCTGTAGTACTGACTGTGAGGTTGTATTACTTGTATAAAAGTATATAGTATCTGTTTAAAATCTCTATATAATAGAGAACTTGATTTAGTAAATCTAACTATTATTTTATTTATAACTAGCTAATAAGATTTGCCTGCGCGCTACAGTCTATTAAAATATATATAGATATAGATTCTTTAGATATATTAATTTTTATCTGTATATTAATAAAATTAAAATTTCTCTACAGCTGGAGTTCCAGTACTGCTACTGTATATAGAACTGAGATATTTAATTTTTTATCTATATTATATTCTCTGAGCAGTGAGCTGCTATATATCCCAGTTTTTAGTATTAGTAATACTTAATATTAAATATAAAATAGTTTATTTAGAGTTTTTTTTCTATTATATTTAAATTAATTTTAGATTCTTATTTATGCTTCCGGGATCCTGTATTATCTGGATTATTATAATTTTCTTAGAATAATATTTTAGTATTCTTCTATCTAGCTATAAATATTTTATATTATTTTGGTATTTAGTTCTTAATAATTTATAGATATATTATAAAGATATCATATATATCTAATTTTTTAAAATATTTTAAGACTTTCCTGTGAATTTCTTCCAGTATCCAGACATGCAGATAATCTTTTTATTAGTTCTCTATATATAACTCTAGAAGCTAGATATATTACTGGTAAATATATTATATAAATTTCTATATAAATTAGTAGTTTTCTTATTTTATATCTTAATAATGCTGGTTTGCATTCCTTCACAGATTTATGGGGTTGTTGAGTTATTAAAGAAGAAATTCACAGTATTCTGACTAGATTAGAATAGATTAATTACTGGTGAATATTTTATTACTATGTTATTCTTACTAGAGGAGCAACAGGAAGTAAAAATAAAAGATAATATTTATTATCTTTAAATTATCTTAAATAAAGTAATATATATTTTATATAAAATAATTTTTTATATAAATTATATAAATATAGTATTCAATCATCTCTTTTTTATAGTATTTTTTATCCATCATAAATCTAGTAGATAATTTTATTATATATATAAGATTTTTCTTATATCTCTCCTGGGGTTTCCTCTGCTGTAGGAGGCTGGTAGAAGAGCCTGATAAATTAGAATATTATTATTTTATATCTTCTACTATCTTGTCTAGGTCTATAAGTTATTTTTATAAATATAATTTTCTGACTAAGTCTTTTTTCTTGCACAATTACTGCTTAAGTATAGTAATATCCTCGTCCCCGGAGAATCTGTGTGATTCAGAGATCTTACTGCTTCTAGTATTAGTTGGATGTTTGTTACTTGCAGTTTCAGTTGTCGGGAGGAGTCTTGTAATAAGATTACTAGAGAATTTCTGTGAGTCTTCTTCTGGTATAGTACTTTAGATATAAGATATTATTCTTCTTATTAGGCCTCCTTTATAAAAGAGCAATCAGAACTGTTAAAGAGCAAAGTAGAAGACATGATAAGTTTGATTATATATATGAATACTAGTTACTGTACTGCTTTGAACCGATTGCTGGCCTCCCGCAGTGTTGGGGGGGCCAGTGAGATGTGATATATGAGTAAGTCACATGACCTCACCAGATCCACGTGATCCGCGACCGTGTGTTACTCACGTGACCCGCCGGGTCGCAGCGAACCGGCGGCTCCGCTCTAACATCAACAAAGCACTGATAGTAGTTAAAAAATATAATATTAGTTTCTAATTCTCTGACAGTGGTTAGAAAATATATATGGTGTATAGCAGTGACTTTGTCATCTGTCATAGTAATACTGAGACATGATATATAATGGCTGAGTAGTTTAATAAATGGATAGATAAAATAATATTTAGACAGAGATAGTATTATTCTATTTATTTTTAGTATATTAAGTACTGTGTCCAGGTGCCGGAGATATTTGTTAATATTATGGCTGTAAATTATAATATTGTTGATGTAGATAAGCATGAAGTCTTATAAGTAGTAATTTAGAATAGATTTTATTTTTACTTGAAAGAATCCTGGAGAAGATGCAAGTTTTATTAATATAACTATCAGTTATTTATAGCCATGGTGCAGGATAATAAAAATATTTTTCTATTAATTCTTATATTTAATAGACTGCTGGAAATATCCTTTTATTATATTCAGTGAGATAAATACTGTTGGTGGTCCTTTCGGGGTCCCCTGGGGGGAATCGGGAAAGGAATAAGGGTCAGGTGGCTCAGGGTCACTAGGCCGAAAGGGGTAGGCGGTCTGGTGTAGAAAGGTCCAATATAAAGGTAATAATACCTCTTTGATCACGTGACCACAGGAGGTATGGTCAGGTAATAATCACGTGATCTAAGGAGATATGGTCAAATGATAATCATAAAATGATAATATATTCGGGTCACGTGATACTAGTCCCAAATAGGAAACTAGGTATCGATTCATAAAATATATAAAGATAAGTACAATTGACAAACTTGTCAAAGGGAAGCAATCCTACTGCCTAAATAGGAAAGAAATGAATCCTGAGATAGGTAGTGAATAAATTAGATGACTTGGATAACTTGGAAGGCTTGGTCCAAATGCTTTGAGCAGGAAGATATGGCCTCTATTTATCTTCAATTCACTGCCTGTAGTGAATGAATCTAGGCCAGGGTCATGAATCATCGACAAATAAAGAAATCGTAGTCAACTGATCAGAATGACGCAAGAATCACATGTAAAAGAGGGGTTATCAGGATTTCAAGGAGTAAGCCCAATCTGCTCCGTGAATATCAGTGTTACGGACCCCTGCTAGTTAATCTACTAGTAAGGCGGACTCGCTAGGCAGAAAGCGCCGATAAGGGCAGCGCTCGGGCAAAGCCAAGTTGTTATTTAGTACAATTGCGAATTGCCAATACGACGCCCGAAACGGCCACGCATCACGTGACCATCTACCATCAAGCCTACCATTAAGGGTATACTTAAGGTATACTGGAACCCTGGACTACGATTGGGTCGACCATCGATCTACCCAGAATGGTATACGATGTGGTATACGGAGGATAGGATATAAGGACACTCTTTCATGTACTTAGTTAGTTCTGTTCTTCGTGCTCAATAACACTGTCTTTAAGTAACCATACATTTGGAAGCTTAGCGATAGAACACTCGTCCGCACTTACTTACGGATAGCTGCGCGGCACTATCTGGCCTTACTTCTCTTCTCGTGTCCAAGACCAGTTGTCCTTAGATAGTCATCAGCCTGATACTTCCTCGACCCAGTTCGACGGTACGTATACCAGTGAAGCTAAGCTAACCGGGACAGAGAAGCGATCCTAGGGTTTGACACATTGAGCACCAGTCAGTACGAGTGTTCACCAGTTATAACCATCCATCATGTCGACTACTTCAAGTTCACCGCGCACTCCGCAGCAGGGCTCCAGTGCCCAAGGAGGAGGGCAACAGCAAGGCCCGACGACGCAGGAATTGATGGGTATGGTTAGTCAGTTGCAAGAAAGCATCACTGCCCTGGAGCAACGGAACCAGTTACTCGAAGGTCGATTGGCAGTCAAGTCTGTCAAAGTCAGACCACCGGAACCGTTCGACGGCAATCGATCAAAGCTTAGGGCTTTCTTGACCCAGTTAGACTTGTACCTCAACATGAACAAAGAAAAGCTCAAGAATGAGGTTGACAAAATCTTCTTCGCGTCCACCTATCTAACCGGAACGGCGTTCAATTGGTTCGAGCCGTTCATCCGCGATTATCAGGAAAAGCCGGCAAAGGATCAGGACGACGATACCAAACGAATCTTCTCTAGCTATGCCAGGTTCAAGGAACACCTCGAACAGACATTCGGAGACATCGACGCAGCACGAAACGCTGAACGAAAACTATGGCGACTCAAGCAGACGGGATCGGCATCCAAGTATGCCTCCGAATTCTTGCAAGTCATCAGTCACTTGGACTGGGATGAAGACGCCTACGTCGCACGATTTGAAGAAGGACTCAAGATGGAGATCCAAGAAAAACTCATCTGGCAAGAACGACCGGACACATTGCAGCAAATGATCGCAGCGGCGGTCAAGATCGACAATAAATTGTACGAGTACAACACAAAACGAAAGGAAGGCCGATGGACCAGTGGGTCTATGCCTCGACGAAACAACCAACAGGGCTACCGAGCCAATAATAGACGGCCAGCACAGCCTAGAAGCCTGGGATACGAGGATCCCTACGGACCAAAACCAATGGAGCTGGATGCAACGCAGCATCAGACTCGACGAAATGGAGTCTCCAAGGAGGAGCTCGAAAGGCGCAAAAAGGACCGCTTATGCTTTAACTGCGGCAAGGCAGGTCACCAGTCGAAGGACTGCAAGCAGAAACGGCAACAGCCTCAGAAGCAGCTGAGGGCCACAGACGAAGATCGGTCAGAACCAAATGAAGAGGCCAGAGGAGCCTACGATACCACTGGGGTTAGACCAGCAGGAGGTTGGATCAAATCCGCAGTACAGATACGAAGTAGCAAGGAGCTACGCGCCACACAACAAGGACGACTGCTAGTGCCAGTAAGCAGAACGTACCAGAACCGGTTGAGGCAACAGGCCGACACGGATGAGCCAACAGCACCAACAGAACCGCAAGAAATCCACCGACTATCCGAACCATTCGA